AAATAAAAATTTTCACATATATTAAGAAAACTCTAATAAATATTTGTGCAAAATTTGATTTAGATCCACTTACTTGATTAAAAGTTATTTATTAAAAATTGTCAAAAAATATTATCTGTCTCTCTCTCTCTCTCTTCTGCAAATTACTCGTTTTTTTGTTCTTGCAGTTAATTTCCGGGGGTATTCAGAATCAAAAGTTCTTATCATAAATTAAAAAAAATACTAATTACAACTATTTTCTTTTACGAAAACATTAAAAATCATATTTTTTTGTGATACTTTAATTCTTTTTATAATTCGGATTTATTTATTCGATTTTTCAAACAGTATAAACGTAAGAAATATGCTTTTTTAAATTTTGAGAATTTTTTGCTACTATTGTACAGCCAAAACATCCTTAAGTAACCAAGCATTATTCAGCCAATAGATTTAATCGCCTCACATAATTGTTAAGATATCATTGAAATCTGAGAAATCAACAAATTTAAAATTATATTATACACACAAAAATAATATAACAACGCGAAAAAAAATTGACACAAATAATTATGCATGTTGTACGGTGTGAATGAAATTTACAATCTTGAAATGTCATCACGTCGAATGCAGCTCGAGAGGTTTGATTCAAGAGGTTTGATTCACTGTCACTCGGGAAACGTTAAAACGCACTTTTAACTCGACGTCATTCCGTTGCTTGATTATCGGCCGGTTGTTAAACGTCGATAAATCCGTCCGTCCATTCGCGCATTTGCTTATCTATCCATCAGCGTTGACTGCTTTTTTTCCCCGCGTCGAAAGCCTCCCCCTAGCATATTACTTTTAATTGAATTCCCGCGATGAAATTTCATCCCCGACATTGCTCTTTCTCTCTCCCTCTCTCGTTGTATTAAGTCGAGAGACCATTTCGCAGCCGTCCTTTCTCTCACTGGTTTTCTCTCCAAGACTCGACTCACCCTCTCCTCCCTGTGTCTCTTCTTTTATGCCTGCGCCAGTCAACTGTTTCTCAGACAATCGTAGCTTCGTGCAATGCTTTTTCAATAAAACGTCGAAATGCGCGCAAAGTCATGACGAAGAAGATACACTACGCGTCGTTTGCGAAACGGATCGAGCAACAACTCACTTTACTTAGAAGCGTCTCTGTTTCGTGCATGGAATGCAGCCTAGTGCAAGAAAGAATACACCATTATACTATACCGATTGTTCATGCTCTAACGCCGCCACGTGCGACACACCCGGTGACTAGATATAGTGACCCGAAATATTGTATCTTGTTTTTGTGCGAATTTATGTTGTTCCGGGTGTACTTTGCGAATATTAATTGTGCGTAAAAAGCACATACATGATATCTTAAATTATATTAGGTTATATTCGAACAATTTATCTCGCATAAACGAGCCGTCGTATAATTCGACACTTTGTTATATAAAATTCCATTTACGTATCTTTTATTTAAATTTATTTCAAAAGTTGAGGTGCATTGAGAATCAGATATTTTAAAAAATGAAGTCCTACACCGTAATATACCTCCTTATTATTCAAATATAATATATACTTTGATCTCTAAATTCTTAAAATAGAGCAGCTTCGTAAATAACTAATTTTCAGATATATATTTGAAACACTTAATATATTCTGCATTACATAAATGCAAATATATGCATATATTATTGCGCCATTAATCATTCGTCGATCGACGAAACGATTGAGAATCAAGATCATGTGTTCTTTCATTCCCATCCCTTCCCATTGCGTACCGCGACGTTCTAAGCAAGGGAAAGACAAAGGGGTGAGACGTATCTTGAAATTAATTTAATTAGCGGTCGGTTTAGCCCCAAACTTGAGTCAAACGCTCGTTAATCGCACCTGTCGTTGTTATCGTCGTCGACGTCGTCCGCCGACGCCGTAGCTGTAACAATTTCTTATTACGCGACGTCGCTTGATTAGCTTAACCGAGTGTGCGCTAATTCTAATTTCCAATGGTGCAGCATTATTCGCGATGACATATTTCAAGACAGTCATATATATGTGTTAATACATCAGATTAGGTGTACATCAGGGTGTCTACTCAAATTTTGTAAAAAAATTCCCTGAAAATTCTCTGATCTTCCAGGTATTTTTGTTCAAAATTCCAGGTAAAGAGAATATTTTAAAAAATTTTTGGTGCGATTTCCTAAAATAAGTTTTTTCATTGCACGCGTTTTCTAATGCTTTTTATTCATACAAAGGGAAAATACAAAGTCACTTAAGTTTCAAGTACTAGATTTACAAATGTACTGAAAAAAAACTTAATAATTTTATTAAGATATAAATTTTTAACTTGCGTTACATTTTCATTTTTTATCACTAAAAATTAAAATAAAGAATATGAACTGCATATTCAATATTTTGTTAAGACATTCAATATATAAACAAAGATATATATATATTTATAATATATTTTAAACACATAATTCACAATTTGGCTTATTGGCGGATTGTCTACTTATAGTAGGATTGCAAGAGCAAAATTATCAAAGAGAGAATTTTTTTTTAAATTCCCTGAGGCTTCCAGGTTTTCCATGTTTTTCCAGGGAGTAGACAAACTGTACATATATTATTTCGTAAAAAAGTGTATCAATTATACTTTAATGAGATTACATTCTAAAGTATATACGTTAAAAGATTTTAGTATTTATATCATGCATTTGAAATTATAAAACTTTTAAGAAAAACGCGTTTCTATCATTGACGGAAATATATTGCAACATGATCCGTGAGAGGACAAAATAATTTTTGCTCGTTTCACAAAACCTACAAAGTTTCGTCAAGAAGATCGCAGCTCAATACTGTGCGATCTCGGTGGAATATATCGAAGATCAGTCAATCAGTCGGAAAAGAAAAGATATTTCCGCCCTCTTCAATGAAACCGAGAAAATTGGCGATAGACGTTCTCTTGCCACGTAGAACGACGAGATTTTACTGGGTCTGCTTGGGCCTCCCCGGCTCCTTTCAATTAACGCCTTTCTCACTTCCCGGACGATACCCTTCTCCCTTTCTTTGTTCCCGGTGAATTCTTCGAGAGGGAAGGAGGGAAGAAGAAAAGACACCCGGGGAGGAGAGAAAAGTCTTTATCACAAGGAAGCCGTCTCGGCCAACATCGTGAAACGGTGACGGTGAAGGAGCGGTAAAGGGAGGGTGCAGGTGGATGAACAGGGGTGGAGGGGGTGAACAGGATCGGCCGAAGGATGGCGTGTTATGGGGTTTTCACGGGTGGTGCTCGCGGAAATTTGCATACAGAGCATCTGTCACCAGCCCCTTAGCCCCGGCTCCAGGCCATTCTCGACTTGGAATATCTCCCGGCGCGGATCTACGGGATAATGGGGACCATTCTTATGGTAAATCAGACGGAGGGGGTTTGCGTGTGATTCGGCGCCGAGAGCCACCTTAAGAAACTGCCTGACAGAAGAGCCGGTCGCGATATAGCACTTGGATTTGGAGAACGATCGCGCACATCATCGCGATCAACGAGAGTTTGCGATGAAATGAGCGATCTCAGATAAGTTAATTCGCGAAATTTAGAAACGAATTAGTTAAACAGTAAGTATAATCGAATAAAGATACTATCTGTAACTTTTTTTACACTTAATTTGTTAAATTAATAAATTACTAGATGGGAGCGCTAATCTAGTTTTTTTAAATTTTTAAAGTATTTGCCTTTTACAGGCCTCTTTAAATGATGTATAGTTCGCGACAAAATTCAAAATAGTTTTATTTTATGTGTCATATAATGCAAAAAACATTTAAACACGTAAAATACAAATCAAAATATATATATCATGTATATGTTAAACATGTGACGCATAAAATTATAAATAGAATTCTATCTTAAATTTTATCACGAATAGTAAATTGTCTAAAGAAATCTTAAAATAATATATAGTTTTTAATATGTGTAAGATGAGAATATATAAAATAATGCCCTGTACGATTTCAACAAGATTTTTGTATAACAGCTTTCGCATGTTTTTAATATAAACGACGCGAATAATATTTTACCATTTTATAAATTTTCCGTTAATTACCTTATCGAGTGCATTTAAACTTGTAGGCAGTTCGGTAGTTTACTCAAGAACAGACGTTTACTCGAGAAAGATGGTAAAAAAAGGTTTAACGATACCATCGAGTACCTTCCGCTTGGATTAATCGACAGCAACACCTCCGGTAATTAGATACCGCTATTAGCCACGATTCTCTCTCTCTCTCTCTTTCTCTCTCTCTCTCTACACTATAACGCAATACCTCCATCCACAGTTTTCTTCACTACCACCCCGCATCAACCATCGTCCATGTTAATGCACGTAATAAATGCCGGAGTAAATTTAAATACCAAGCGTGGATATATCGAATTAAGTCTCTAAATTTCATTACGCGTACGCGACGCGCAAAAAAAAAAGTAATTTGCATATCACGATTTTTCACCATATACAGTCTAAACTTTTAAAATCATTTTCATTGAATGTTTTTTGAATTTGCCAGAAATATTTTTATTCAACAGTTATTAAAACATTTAACAATAAATAATGTTATTTAATTAAAGAATGAATGCGCAACAATAGTAATTTGCAGTTTCAATACAATCTATTTATAGATCTTTGCATTATAAAAGTTATGGAATAGTTGACACACACTCATATGCATTGATTATGTTTAATATCGATTTTTAAAAAACATTTTGCATTACATATTAAATTAAAGATTTAAAAAAATAAGATTTAACAAGATGGATAAAATAATGTAAATTTTGCAAAAATAATTACATAGCGAATTTAATTGGAATAAAAGGCACTCGCAACGGCTAGTCTCGCCGACTTTCGTCAATTCGTCGAGCTCGTCGTCGACCTCGATCCCTGCGCCGATCCCCATCGCTCACCTCCACGGATCCCGAAAATGGCTTTCCGAGCACGAATCGCACAACGCATTGAAATTCACCGAGAATCTCGCTTTCCATCTCTATTCCCGCCAGCCGAGAACAGAGCCACGTGCTTTGATCCGCGAGCTAACCCTCGCATCTTTCTCTCACCTACCTATCTAACGCAGAGAGTTAGCCACCTATCTTTACCCTTCCCTCTACCCTGCCATCCTGTTTTACTCTCGAGGCACATCCGCCTTCGCGTCCGCCGCGCGTCGCCCTTTAATTTAGCATCGGGTCCCATCCCTCTCAGTGCGACCCTGTCTCATCCGTCTGTCTCTCGCGCAAGCGGATCGATTCACACGCACTCACGCACGTTCTTCTTCTTCCTGGATCTTCGCGCGTGTTTTTTATATCTTGCGAAACACCGTTGTTTACCGGGGGTCATACGCTGGACTTCCAATCGCTCTTACACTTGTTAGCGGTCTCCACAATCTCCATCTTTATCCAGTCTGCTTGTCTCGAACATGATCGATTTACACGCGCGGCCAGTTTCCTATCTCTCTGTCCATCCTGTATGTAGGGTAGATGAGCCAGTGATTGATCACCGACGAACGACTGCTGAATCAATATCTATTAAATTAGACACACACACACATGATGTCCTAGATAAATATTTTAGTAACAGATCGCTCATTCAATTTATAGTACGTCATTTCTAAATATAAAAAAGACCATACATAGTATAATAATATTTCGCAAATCAAAGATGCAAATAAATATTGAAATATTGTTCGTGATTTAATAAAGCTCGAAAATAATATTTCTGTTTCTCTTTGCATATTTGCTAAAAGGGTAAATTTGGTTCCAAAATATGAATAAATTTTCTCTTTCTCTCTTAAACGTTCGCCGGATTTTTGTATCGTTCGTTATATTTTGGCGTTTGCAAAGGTTTGCCGAATTTCGAAGGGTTCTCATTTGGACGATTTTGCCGAACAAAGGGCTGCATTGTGAGGGCCTAGACAGACCAATGGAATTTCGACGCGCCGAAACTATATTAACCCTTTGCTTTAGGTGGAACGTTATAAAGGTCCCATGATACAAGCCTTTTACTTGGCGAGCTGTGTTATTGTGGTATGTGCGCAATTGAATTTTTCCGACTTTGCGTAGATCCGATCCAGCATAAAAGTACACAGCTGTCGTTTGAAAAATAAACCAAAAAAAATTCCGAAAAATTGAAAACACGAAAAAGTGATATATTACAACTATGTGTACACGATATTATCAAATAGGGGAAAGTAGGGTAAAACCTTTTTACTTAGAGTACATAGGGTGCTTTTTTGGATTTGTCTTCCTACAAAACATCAGACTAAAAAAAATTTTGTCGACCGTTAGCAGTCTTTAGTGGACCTTAAACTATGAGAAAATGAGGCTAGTTGCTGACAAAAAATTTAATCACCAAGGATAACAAGATTTTTTGGAGAAGTTAAAATACCCGGTTTTGCCCTGCCGATAGAGTAAAACCGGGTATCCATTTGAAAACATGTAAAATACTGCAATTACAAAATCTAGATTTATTTTAATCAAAATACAATACAAAGATGTATTCTATTGATAAAAATCACGAATAAAGATATTCTCTTGTTCTACATTGCTGCAGGACTTTCTTATTTAATTTTTTAACTTTAGGGATCTCAAAAAGCTTTTTGGTAAATATGCATAAAAGGTTACACCTCACCGATTTTATCGCCACTTAAATATGTTGTAGGGGAGGTTCTTCTGAGTAATTCGCCGCAAGAAAAAAGTGGGGGAAAGCATTCGTTTAGAAGATATGACAAATTAAACTTTGACATTAAAGTTTGTGTATGCTGTAATAATCTGTTATTTTTTTATTAAGAAAGGCTTACGACTTTAATGCGTGGGCGGGGAAGGGGCGGGGTCTCTCTCCCTGCACCCCCCTCCCCCGAAAAGTTCCACTCCAAAGCTACAATTTGGGTTATATAACGTAATCCAAACCAAATTTTAGTTTTAAATCAGAAATAGGTTTGGGTTAGGTTATATCTTCCGGAAGTGGAGCTCCCCCGTAGAGGAGGGGAGGCGGAACCCACTGCGTCCATGCATATACTTTACAACGCGAAGCGAAGTCCACCCCACAATTTTTGTGTGAATGGGAAAGTGTATGCGTGGATGCAGTGGTTCCGCCCACCCCTCCTAGGGAGGGGCTCCACTACCAAAAAACTAGACACATAGGTTTGGATTGAATCTCGCTTTGCGTGGAAAATTGTAAACCCATGTATAACATTGCTTAGCGTTGTAAAGTATATGCGTGGACACAGTGAGTTCCGCCCCCCTACGGGGGGGGCTCCACTTCCGGAAGATATAACCTAACCCAAACCTATTTCTGATTTAAAACTTTATTTTATAATACTTCAAAGAAAGCATTAAAATTGTAAAATTTCAATTTATTATATCTTCTAAACGAATGCTTTCCCCCACTTTTTTTTGCGGGGAATAACTCAGAAGAACCTCCCCTACAACATATTTAAGTGGCGATAAAATTAGTGAGGTGTAACTTTTTATGCATATTTACCAGCTTTTTTTTAGTAGTCTTTTTTTTAGTGATAGTTTTCATTTCCAACTGCTTTTTGTAAGGAGACAAAATCAGGATAACAGTTTCTCCTCTTTTTATTACATGAGATGAGATGTGTAGGTACCCGGTTTTGTCCCAACACGAAGAAGATAACAAATACAATGATTGTATATTTCGGCGTATAAAGTGACGATCAAAACTAGTACGATATACTTTCTAATGCATACAGAATGCAATGCTGCATTTACCAAAACAGATGCTCTATGTAAAAAAAGTCCACGATGACTCGATTGTTGCACCGATATCGATCTTTTTTGACCCGAAAATTTTGGACTTCTCTTAAAAAAGAAATAATTATATTTTGTTTGCATGGTTCATCTCAAAATAATTATAAGCAAATAAAGAGGCAATATGAGCCACAAGTATCACGTTAAGAGATTTATTAATTGTGTGAAGGCAATTGACAAATATCAAATTAAAGCAAGTAAAAAGTGATACGAATCAACATACAAATATGATAATAAGAAGGCGAACGTTTCGGCCCTTTTTTTGTGGCCATCTGCAGCGCAATTAAAATAATAAATATATGAATACATAAAAAAATATCGCAGTCAGTAATTAAAATTAGATTGTAAACGCAAGAATTCGCTCAAACAAGCATCTCAAGAGGAAGAACTCCCCGGATGGTAGACCAGAAAATTCACATCATAAAAAGTTATAAAGGCTTGCCGGCATGTTGACATGCGAAACCCGAAAGTCGAGATTCTTGTAGAAGCGTGCAATAAGGAGTTAAGAGCGCTTACGAGTTAATAGTAACAATGTAAAACTTACATACAAATGCAACAGATCTATCACAATAATGAGTATATGACGCGAAACAATTATTTATCCACGATACTTTAAAGACCAAGTTATCTCTAACAATAAGATGTTTCACGAGACTTTAAACTTGTGTGTATACAGTGCTAGGTCACTGGTCCTCGGTGACATAAGAGTAAACACAACAACTCGTTACACGATCGAATATGTATTTATATCGGGATGGAAGAAATCAAAACGCGTCTTGAAAATAATCACAAAGATTATCTTATGCATTAAATGTTGGGGAGTTTATCCAACGCAGTTATATATGTCTGGTGCAAGCCCTCGGTATCCGTTTGTAAATTCAGACCATTAATTTGTCTCCTTATAAACAACATCTCAGATATCAGTCGTTTGTTTAGATATTTTTCACTGTCTAAAATCCGGACATGGTTCTAGTCAAAATCATGGTCAAACTCTAATCTATGATCGGTAATCATCGAACCAACTGTTGTATTTCTACGTATGTGGTTGCGGTGTTCCCCGACTCTCGTCTGTAATCTCCTGCCTGTCTGACCTATATAAAAGGCATCACAGTCTGCACAATTGATCATATAGATGACATTAGTGCACGATGCACTGGAAAGGACGTCTTTATGTATCCTAATAAAGCATGACAATTTATTAAGACTACAGTAAGAAAGCTTAACGTCAAGATCTTTTATGATGTTTTTAAATTTATGCGAGATGGTATGGACGAAAGGGATTGTAAAATAGGAGACAATCTTCTTGTTGACATTCTCCTCGTCAATTGAAAGGCCCCTACTAGAGATCAGAAATTTGAGGCGGTTAAAAATTGTCTGAAAAATGAAATCTAAAGGATAGTTATTGTCCAGGAGAATTTTTATGATAAAGTCAAAATTTTTTTGGTGAAATTGTGGGTGTGAAAGTAAGAAAGCTCTATCCACAAGGCCAATAATGGTACCTCTTTTTTGGCATGTCGGATGTTGAGAGAGAAAATTGAGGTATCGACCTGAAAAGGTAGGCTTATGGAACCAGTCAGTAATTAAGCGGTTGTTAATTAGAAGTATTGAGATATCTAAAAAATTCAATTTATCACTGTCAGCAATTTCCAAGGTGAATTGGATTCTAGGATGTAAAGAATTGAAAACATTAAGCGTATGATCCATAAAAGAATATGGTGCAGTCATTGCGATATCATCAACATATCTGAAGTAGAAAGATGGAATGAAAGTCAATGTTGAAAGGGCTTTTTCTTCCAAATCTTGAAGGACTATGTCAGCTATGATGGAAGATAACGGGGAACCCATAGGCGTGCCATAAGTTTGTTTATAAATTGTTCCATTAAACGTAAAGAACGTAGAGTTCAAAACAAATTTAATCGCTAGGATAAACTCCAATGCAGAAATCAGGGTTGGCATATTTTAAACAATGTGTTTAAAACTGCTTGATTAAAACTTGTTTAAAACAGTGGACACCGTTTTAAACATTTTTGTTTTAAACATTTTTAAACTGCTGTTTAAAATCGTTTAAAATATCGCAATTAAAATATATGATTATTTGAAAAAGAAATTGTAAAAAAAACAAAAACAAACAAAAACTAATAAATATGTATGTTGCAAAAAAGTTGTTGTTTCAGTTTTTTAGTTTTTTATCAATATTTATGTAACATATAAATATAAAAATATAAATAATGAAATAAAAATGATAAGATGGGTATTATTTTAGCAGAATATTTATTTTTGGATATTAAATAACAATCAATACAATAAAGATTACTTAGTAGATATTGACTGACTTTACATTTTAACATTTTTAATTAATAGCACATAACTCATAACAGGTCAGTAGTTCTAGTTAATAATATTTAATATATAATACTTTGGTTCCTTTCCTATTCTTATTAAGTAATCTTATGCTTAACTCTCAACATAAATTATAAATAAAAGAAAAATAAAAGAACTTCAATACTTCTTTTTTATCTAAAAACTACAAACTATAAAAAAATAAACCATAACACATTGCATTTTAGCATCCATTGCAAATAATAAATAAATTAACATCAATCCTTTAACTAAAAAAAAAAGTAAACATTTAGGTACACAAAAATGAATGGTAACAATAACATATTGCAATTGCATTGCAGTCATTGCATATTACGTATATTTTTTTAATACCTACTTTTAAATTTAATAACTTAAAATAAAATTAAGAATATAGTTTTATATATATTAATAAAGAATAGTAGTTTTTTTTACTACTCAACTAAAAAAAACTCTTTTAAAAGATCAGATTATACAGACTCAGTCTCAATCTCATGTTCAGTTTGATCGACTTCACCTTTTTTGTTGAGTGCCTTCAAAATTGTTACTAATTTCGAAGCTTTTTCTACTCCTAATCTGTTTCTCAGTTTTGTGTGCACTAAACCAAAAGCTGAGAACAGCCTTTCTATGCCAGCAGAAGAAGCAATTGCTGTATGGAGTTGTATTACCAAGTCGAACGTTACAGGATTGACATTCATTTTTAGCGCAAGCCACCATGTTATCGGCTTAACATTTTTAATGGATTCCCCCCAAAAAAGATAATTTTTGAACGGAGAAGTTTTTGCTCGATAAGACATTATGTCAGACATGGCTGCAGGGTGATACAATTGTTTTAAACAAAAAAACTGTTTTTTGTTTAAAATGAAAAAAACAAGTTTTTTGCCAACCCTGGCAGAAATAGAACAATTGTTAGAAATGAGATCTATTTTTTTCTCGACACTCTCAATGGCAAGGTCAATAGGAATAATGAGATCAATAGGAATAATGAGAATAAAAATAATGATGGCATCAATCTACAACTAATAACACGAGTTGGCCAAAGATAATAGCACTTATCATGAAGAAACAGAGGTACCCGGTTTGACCCGCCTACCCGGTTTTACCCTACTTTCCCCTATATATATAATGCTGAACTGTGCCTTCTGTAAATAGACAAAATAGGAAAAAAATTTTATTTTGTAAGTTCTTGTAGAGAAAAAATATTGTGAATTGAAGATATACAATAAGTTATGTCGTTTCTTTCTTTTTAAATTATTTTAACTCTGATTCATTTATTTTCGATTGAAATTTTCTTATTTTATATGAACTTAAGTAAGAAATACTGTAAGACGCAAAGTCACTAAAGTCTTTTGATACAAATGAATTAAACATGAATTTTTTTTCACGTATTTGTGTAACAATATCCTTCTTGTCGTACGATCTAAAAAAGCAAAGAAAACATCGTGACGTGCTTTGAATGTTATCAAAGTCCTAAAACCATTAAATATAAATGTCGAGAGAGCTCGTCGACGTTTTCACAAAGGTTTCGGTTCGTTTCGATTCCATTAACGTCTCTATTTTCCGATATCGGTTTCCCCCGATGAAAAAGATCCAAATTCGATGATTGCAATGTCGATTTTCTCCGGTGGGAAGGAATGTAAACCAACATTGACAATAAAATAAGTATAGCTTTCAAATTCGATAAAAAATGAATATTAAAAATAACAACATGCTTTAAAAAAGACTTTAATCGTTGGAATTAAAGTGTTTCACGAAATTGGAAATTTATTTTTATTCCACAAAAGATTCAAAACCGTAAAAAGTAATCATTTTATATCGCGCGATAACAGATATCTATATATAATTTTCTGTATTGTGCATGGATATTTTTCAAAATTGTTTAGTAATGTTTTTATATAATTATAAAAAAGATCTTTAATTGAATTAAAGAGTACAGATTTTTAATTTTGATTACAGATTTGAATAATCTCCGATTTAAAACCGCTCGTTTCGCACGTGTGATACATATTTTAGTAGTTATTTACACGCGGCGCAAACGAATAGAGCCACAGTCTTCGTCCCGAAGAGAGAAAATGTCGAAAGTTTTTTCGGCCAATCGATGCGAATTTAGCGTTATTATCGAATTATCGCGACTAAAGTCGTAATCGCTGCCGCGCGGAACGTAATACACGAGGACGAGTTTAACGCGAGTTTGACAGGAAAAGTCGACCCTTCTTCTCTCGGTCCGTAGATGGGGAGTCCTCGCTCTCACTTTCCCTCTCGAGAGGAGAACTCGACCCCTGAAAGAACGCGCTGAGGGGGCCCTCCTCTCTTGAAGAAGGGTGAAAAATTGCAGCGACTTATTAAACGGAAAACTTGGCCGCCCCCGGGACGGCACGGGACGAGACAGCGGGACCTAAGCCGTGTGCCAGGCCGTGATATATGTATGCCCATCGGGTAAGAAAGTTTTGACGAGCGCGAGCGACTGCTGGCTGCGTTATTATCGGCGATAAATTGTCCAAGTGTACCCCAACCCCAACCAGCCGCGACGGGATGCGAGAAATGGATGAACGAATCCGCGATAATCAGAAAACAAGAATCATCATCGGTTGAATGCGAGTAACGTAATAATTCTTGGCCGCGATTTAAGAATGTATGTGTCATTTGTCAAAACATTGACAAAAGTATGAAAATTTCGTAGACTGTTTTACTATTTTTTTTGAGTATCTGTGCAAAATCTGAGTACAATTCACTTAATGGTTTGAAAATTATTTAAGTTTAAAGTTAGTATTGGATCCTTATGAAAAATCGCGTATTGTAGCACTTATTGACAAATTTGATAAGAAAAAACCATTGCCAACAAAATAAAAATTTTCACATATATTAAGAAAACTGTAATAAATATTTGTGCAAAACTTGATTTAGATCCACTTACTTGCTTATTTACTAAAAATTGTAGAAAAATATTATCTCTTTCTCTCTTTCTCTTTCTGTCTGTAAATTACTCGTTTTTTTTTTTGTTTTTTACATTTGATTTCAGAGGATATTATCGATCAAAAGTTTTCGCCATAAATTAGGAAAAATATTAATTACAACTATTTTCTTTTACGAAGACGTTAAAAACCATATTATTTTGTGAAACTTTAATTCTTTTCATAATCCGGATTTATTTATTTAATTGTTCAAATAATATAAACGTAAGAAATATTTTTTTTATTTTGACTGTTTTTTGCTACTATTGTACAGCCAAAACATCCTTAAAACATTACAGAATAGTAAAAATATCAGATGTTTTTTTTTCATCATTGGAAACTGTACGAGAATTAATTCATATGATGCCCGTAATGTCATTTAACGATGCCAATTAAAAATTCTCGTGATTCGTGAATATAAATAAACGAAAAGATCTAATTTTCAAGGTTATTCTAACTACAAAGTTTATTTTTCAATTGTGGTTTTATCTTATCACGATTCAATGTTGAAAATTTGTGATAAAATCCGTCCATTTTTTGTTAAAGAAAAATCAATTCCAACATGAATATTAGTAGCATTATCAAAGTCACAAAAGTATCACTTTTTATATATTTTCGGCTACCGGCTATATTTTAAATGATTGCTTAAACGACAGCTGGCTTTCCACAATTTAAAGCATAAGTTATCTGCGGCATTTTTCCCACATTATCAGCCGAATCTTCCGAGAATGTCGTCGAAGAAACGTCGCGTCGTAAGACTTCATCGTTAAAAAAATTTTTAAGCCGTGTTATGGCTTGAAAATTGTCTACTAAACGATCGACTTTGACGGGAAACGACCTGTCGACCTCACAACGAGAGTGTCGTTTTATATCTAAGCCGGCATCTCTCTGCGGATGAGTAGCTATCGTTCCTCCCTGTGTGAGCGGCTTAGACCGCCCTATCTATAGTGGACTAAGCGCGTTTTATACTACCGGCATGAAAATATAATTCCTTTCAAAATATCGGCGTCAAACGAGCGAGCGGTTTCGGGCGCGGAGTTTATGGATCATCGATTTCCACATGCGCGTCCACTAAAATATAATAATAATCAGTCTTTCTCTCCGCGTCGAGCGAAAATTGACGATACGATCATCGTGCGCACTTTTACGATCACCCATCTTTAACGCGATTTACTATGGGCTATAATTAAAGTAAATAACGGAAGTGTATGTTGTATAACGAGCTTTTGCGTATCCTATTTAATCCACGGAATGTGTGTTTTATAGACACGCCTCGCATTTGTATGTATATAACGCATTTTTTTCTAGTTACTACATGCCTTTGGAAACATTTAAACAGCCAATAAACTTATTTTATTCTTCAAAACACACATTTTCATACATTGAATATATAAATATTGACTCGCATAATAGCTTCTCAAATGCACGTGCATTCTCTCCGTGTCATTTATTTTATTTTTTGCGTTCCTTTATAACATTAAGGTAATTATTTTATAAGGTACATATGTTATAAGGGAGAGGTTGTTGATTAATATTCACTTTGTTTTACAACTTTGTTGGCGGTCTCGTACAGTTTTCGAAATTTAACGAAAAAGATTTATTGATAAAAATGGAATTTTCGGTTACCATATACATTTAATAGAGCGTACTTAGCAGATTGATTTATTTAAACGAGGCAAATAAAATGCGTGGGCGGGG